GAAGCTCGAGGCTCATACAACCCTTTACGAGCTAAGGATCCGGTACCTAAAGGGAGGCCTAAGGTACCTATCCAACCGAACCCAAAGCAACCCTCTGAGGCACAGCACGAGCTCCAGGGCTGGAAACAAGAAAATTCCAAGCAGCAGCCCGAGCAGCACGGAAGGAAAGTGGATTTTCCAGGGAGGCAAGTCGAGGAAGTCCAAGGGCGAGGTCGGACACACCGGACAGTCCAAGAAAGGAGGGTCAGACTCGAAAAGCCGGGACAGGTGCAAAAGAAGCGAGGTAACGGACAGACCAGCGGACGACGAGACCAGGGCCCTAGACATCCACTTAAGCCGAATTTCTACGAGCCTCATTCACATTAAAACATGTCGGGACATGGTTGGGACCCTAGATCCTGCCCCAAAGGCTCCCTAGGCAAACGCAGTTGCGCTTTCTACCAGGCCACTTCCAGCATCGCGGACGGCGAAGCATGCCTGGGCCCTCGGGCAACTTCCAGCTGGGGCGGATCATCAGCATCACAGGGCGAAGCCGCTAAACCCACACACGAGCTCCTCCTTTTTGGTCGGGCGGCGTCATCCCCCACTCGTTCGCCAAAGCTTAAAGCTCAAGGTTAAAAGTACAAGTTGTCATCCCCAGCCGGTTGTATTTGCTACAGTACCAAGCAGCCAATGCTGCAAGGATCATGATTCATGATGCGCGTCTGATCTTTTCTGGGGATGAACTCTGAGGCTTCGGAGCCACTCTCCTACGTTCCTACATTCTCTGCGAGGGCAGGAAGAGCTGGATGCCATTTGCATCGCACTGCAGTCCGAGATCTCCCTTCGACAAGACGCGCATGCTTGTCGCGAGAGATGTTCAACAGCACCCAGCACACCACAACTCAATCGCGACTAGAAATTCATTGTTTCCTCCGGAAGGCAAGCTCCCACAACACAGTTCATGCCCCTCTGCTGGTGTTCGGCCTGAGTTCGTGCACAGAGCAAAAGCTTCTGGGACGGGCATAGCTTAGGTACAAAACTCCAGGACTTCGAGGCCAGCGCCGTGCAGCGACCACAAGCAGAAGCACCTCAAGCACGTGTGATTCCGAAAGACCAAGGAATCGCAGAAGCAATCAACAGAGAACGAGGTGGAGAAACTCTCGGCATTACCCTGCCCAGCCGCACCAACTCTCAGCACTGCTTGCTCGTGGTGGATTTCGGTTTGCGGATTTACAACGTGAGCTTCATGTTTACAAGCGTCGCTGGCGGGAAGATTCTTGTTTATCTTCTTCCGTATGCATGCGATCCCTTCGCTGCCAAACTTATCAAACATGATGCAGGGAGGCTTCCAAATATGTCGACGGGCTCTGTTGAGCCAAACCGTGACTTCCTTGGCGCAGGAGCTCTTGAAGGGGAGGGTGACACCTCTCGGTTCATGCAGTGCACAGAATTTGCAGATGTTTGCAGAGTGGACCGACCTGATCAGCCCTCTTGTGAGGCTGCAAGTTGCTGTGAACTGCCGTGCTTCAGCGCTTCTGAAACATCCGTTTCTGTTGATTGTAGGTCTATGTGCCATCTGCTCTGCGAGTTTGTATACCCTTTCTGAGCTGCGATGTTCCGTTGCGTCGAGGCTAGCCGTTTTGGGATAATGAATCCCATCGAGACTGAGCAAGACAGGACAGACTCGGCTCAGAATCGAAGTGGGAGCTCGGCGCCCGGCAGTCCTCGGCGGGTGGACCGGGCCGGCCGCGTGTGCCGTTCAGCTCCTTGCCTGCACCAGCCATGGGAACCGGCAGGCGGTGCATCACACGCAAGAAGAGCCTGTTGCGTCCGTGCACCAACACTCCCCAGTCGATCCCCAGCACCTTGCAGGAAAGCGCAAAAAAAAAAACTCGACTCCCCTCAACCCACTTCGAACAGAGAGAGAATGGAGAGATGCGGAGATGATCGGAGATGCGGGGGCGGCGCTGGTGCGGGGCGTAGCCTCCGTCGGGCCGGCACCGGGCCCTGAAGGCTCCAAGCAACGGCCGGAGCCGGGCCTCCAAAGGTCGCAGGCGAGACCGACGCGTCTCTCTTCTCTCTTTCTTCCTTTAAGCACATCGCAGGAGCCCGGGGGGCATCGCCCCCTGCCCCCATTTCGCTGCTTACGACCCATCCTTCGTCGGGCCTTCAACTGGCTCAGGTGGCACTCTGTGCTGTTGCCGTTTTCCTGCAATGAGCATCCCCATTTGAAGGGGGCCCTGCCTGAACTTGGCTGAAAGCTACGGACAGGAAATCTCTTCTAGATGCGGATGGTATCCGTTTGCATTTGCACGGCGAGTTTGGGACAGCACCGCAACTCAGAGAGTACGTGGCTGAGCTCTCCTGCAGAGTGCGGATCGTCTCGCAGTCCTCGTGCCTGCCCAAGGATGAAAGGCTGACAAGAACGTCCTCCCCTTCAGCACATGTTGAGGCTTCGGTGTTTTCCGCATCATCAGCGCCAGCCACGCTGGGTCCAATGAGCTGGGAGGAAAGCAATCGCTCGTCCTAGATACGTCCAGAATGACCGACTGCACAAGGAACAGTTGTGCCAAGACGACACACACACACACTATCTACAGCGGAAGTCTTTACCGGCAGCAATGGGCTGGCATGTACCCAACACCACACGATTCGTGTTCGGCTGCCCAGGGAGATGAAGACTGGCACAGCTACGAATGTGAAAGCTTCACATGCGTCAACATGGGTAACGCAATGGCCAGAACAACTCAAAGGCGCCGTAAGAGATAACAAGAATCAGGAATAGTGCTGCGATCAGAATACAAGACAGCAATGAATAGAGCCAGGCAATGCTGACATTATTCTGTGTAGCTCACAGGATATCTTCATCCTTGTCTTTGTCACCGAAGCCCTCGTACTCCATGCCTTTCGGAGGACACCTTTGCTTTCGAATGCTTGAAGTGCTCTGGATTATGTCGCTCCATTCTCTGAGCTTCAGTGCCAAGTGTCCAGGCACGATTGCGCCCCGCCGCCCTTCCAACTGGCTTTTTCTTAAAGGCCAGGTAGTCCCGATCATGTGTGTAGCCTGTGCGGCCAGAGAGCACGAAGCTGTACTTGTGCCTGTAAACCAGCTCCAACAGAACTCTGCTAAGTTGCTCAGACAGACCGGATCTGGTGGTCCTTCCTCTTTCCTCACCGATTGATGCACATCTACGTGCAGCAGATCAGATGTTATGATATTCTACAGATCAGAAGTCATCGTAGGTGGGACACTCGTAGTCTTCGCTCAGTCGAAGTTTGTGCATCCGCCGCCATGCCTTATTGTGAGACCTTGTTGGAATTCAACGCAAGCTGCATTGTGCTGTCATGTGCTGTCAGTGCGCATAGATGGCCAATGCTAAAGCGCTGCAAGAAATCAGTGCGGCCACACGACCAAATTATCAAATTCATCCGTGTGCCAGAGGCGATGTCATCAGCCCCGTGTCGCCGACTGCCCAAATGCAACACTGCCCTCCCGACCTGCAGTCAACAACAGGCTCTCTCTGCAGAAAACCCATCTTCGTGAGCACGATCAAACGCAAAGATCGTCACCTCGCCTCGTGAGAGTAAACGTGGGAGGCCTGCCAAGGATGCTTCCTCTCTTCAATGGCGTGAAGCAGCTTCAAGGCATCGGGAAAATTCCGCGCCTTGCGGTGATTAGGTGCACCCATGTAGCCGCAGAATGTCAACGTAGCTCCCGTAAATTCATGGCCTCCGGCAGCCTACGAGAAAAGGCAAACCGCAAAAGGTTGGAGTTGTTCATGACGCACTGTGGCAAAAAGCGTGCGGAGCCACATCGCTCGCACATTTGTAGATGCTATTAACATCTGAACTTACGAAGGCTTCAGTTGGCAGTCCCAAGGAACCCGATGAGCTGGCCTAAGCAAACGTTGAAGGTGACGTCCTAAGAGAAACAGCTGCAACAGGGAGAAGCAGGAAGGCAAGAAGCTTCTTCAAGAACGCACTGATTCACTGTGGATATCGAGACGAGCTGCAGAGTCGTCTGTGTGCATGTCCAAACCCAAATCTTCAGAAGCAGTATATCGCACAATGAAGGAGTGGTGGTCATCAAACTGCGATGCCTCTGGCAATCCCCGGCGCTGTTGCAGGTACAAAAGCCATGCATGGCCCGGCCTGCTCGGGAAATAGCACTTTCGCCTCAAGTGAAAGCGGGTGATGTGTCTCTCGCGCATCGGGCATGAATAAAGAGAGAGAAAAAGAGAGAGCAAAAGA